GGTCGACAGGCGGCGGCCGCGTTGAGCTACGCAGAACCGTGGACCTCAGCCCCCCGAGGCCCCGCCAGGCCACAGGCGCCCGGCCTGGGCCAGCAGAGCAGCAGTGACCCGACCGTTTTCCGGGTGGCGAGCTGGGGGTGCGCCCGGCCCCCCGCCCCAGGGACCATGGGAAATGGCATGACCAAGGTAGGGGGCGGGGCCCGCGCAGCCCGCACTCACCTGGCCGCCCCGCCCCGCGGCCCGGGCCGCGCCGGGTCGGGGTGCCCGCCGCTGACCTTCGGGTCCTGCCCTCCGCCCGCTGCGCCCGCCTCTCCTCTCCGCCTCCTCGCCCCGAGGCCCGCGTGGCTGTCCCCTCTCCCGCGCTGTCGGTCGGTCGGTCGGTCTGTCCTGCCTTTCTCTGGCCCCCTGTCACTTTCAGGACTCTTCCACCGCCGCCGCCGCCGCCACCCATCCAAGTGTCTGTCTCCCTGGCTCTGGCTCCTTGGACCCCGGCAGCGATTTCTCCCTCGGCCTGGCGCCCTCCCTGCCCGCCCGAGCCCACCCCCGCCCGGCTCACTCCTCCTCCTCTTTGGGATTTTTCCGCCCCTCCCTCACTGTCCCCTCGGCGTTCCCCTCTTCCCTCTCACCTTACTGGCCTCCCTTGGTCCCCCCAGTAATGAACTTGTCACCCGGTTGGCCCGCCACCCTTCCCAGAGCCCCAGAGCCCTCTCACAGAGGGCCTACTCGACCCTAGCACAGGGCGGACCTTGCTCCCTCGGCTCCCATCATGGGACAGAGTGGTCCCCCAGCCCCTCGGGGTAGGAAGAGCTAGGGCCTTTTCCGCTGACCCCGGCCTGTCCTTCTTCTAGGTGCTTCCTGGACTCTACCTGGGAAACTTCATTGGTGAGCACCACCCCCTCTGTCCCAAGGCCGTGGCACTCTGCCTTGTCCAGGCTGGTATCCACCATTCATGTGGTGCCTACGCACCTTAGAAGGGCTCAGGAATGGGGTTGGGGGCAGAGAAGCCATGCCAGGCTGGGAAGGACAAGAACTCATGGAGGAGTAGTGGGTTTATGGTCCCTAGGCTTGAAAGGGAGAGGGAGGTATCAGGGGTCAAAGGGCAGCACCAGGGACTCCAGTCTGAGCCTCAGCCACTGCACAAGGCCCTTCAGCTCCTGAGTTCCCCCAGCCTTGAAACTCTGGGTTCAGATCCACTTGACAATGATTCTTCCATGTGGGATGCCCCGGGGTTCCCCACTGTTCTAAGGCTTCCTCTCCTCTTGGAGAGGAGACAGGCTGGACACTCTAGTAAATAGAGTCATAAGCTCCTAGGAGAGGCAGCTGGGTGGCCCAGCACCAGGGGAGATGGTGTTTGACAAGCCTACAATTTCCTGCCTTCTCCCTAGCCCTCATCCATCCCTTCTACACCCTTCCATGGGGACAGCAAAAGTGTAGAGCCTGGGGCTGGGAAGGTGGCTCAGTGGTAGAGCGCTAGCCTTGAGCTGAAGAGCTGAGGGACAGCGCCCAGGCCCAGAGTTCAGGCCCACGACTGGACTCTCCCCTCCCCCCAAAAAAAGTGTAGAGCCTCCCGCTGCTGCCTTCAGGGATTTCCAGGATGGCAAGAACTGAACATAAACTGTGTAGGAGAAAAATGTGCTGAGGGGACCCAAAGTGGAAAAGTCACAGAAGGGAGAGGCTAAGGTCCTCCCCCTGAGAGCTTCCTCTGTGTCCTCCACATCCATGTCTGTGAGTGTCTGCCTGAGTGAGGTCTGAGCCCTCTGAAAGGGCCCAGGTTCCTCGAGGACAGGCGCTATGAGGTTGGTCCCAGTGCCCACCCAAGAGTGTACAGTGAGCGTTCAAGGAGTGATTGTTGAATGAGAAAGTGGATCTGTGCATCTAAGTTGTTTTACCCTGATAATGAAAGGGGGACATATGCTGAATACCCAGCCCTGATACAGAGCCACTGACAGGCAGCACAGCGGGGCAGAGCTCTGGGCCATTTGTCGTTTATCTTAGATACACATATGTGATATTTAAAACAAAGGCAAGCCCCATTTTACACACTGTCTGGAGCTGTGCTTCCTACTTAGAAATAATTGTGGACATCTTTGTGCATCAGTGCAAGAGATTATTTTGATTGCTGAACAGTATCCAAAAGTATGGATATAGCTGGGCACAGGTAGCTCACACCTATAATCCTAGCTACTCAGGAGGCTGCGATCTGAAGATCTAGGTTCAAAGCCAGCCAGAGCAGGAAAGTCTATGAGACTCTTATCTCCACTAAACAGCCCCCCCCCAAAAAAAGTCAGGGACAGCCAGGTGCTAGTGGCTCACACCTGTAATTTTAGCTACTCAGGAGGCTGAGACCTGAGGATCACAGTTCAAAGCCAGCCTGGGCAGGAATGTCCATGAGACTCTTATCTCCAATTAACCACCAGAAAACAGGAAGTGGTACTTTGGCTTAAGTGGTAGAGCGCTTGCCTTGAGCTGAAGAGTGCAGGAACAGCGCCCAGGCCTAGAGTTCAAGCCCCACAACTGACCAAACAAAAAAGGTCAGGGACAGAGCTTAGGCCCTAAATTCAAGCCCCAAGGTTGGTGCCCATGTATGTGCGCGTGTGTGTGCATGCACACACACACACACACACACACACACACACAGCAGAGTATGGATATACCATTTCTTACCCAGTCCCTTCTTGATAGACATTTGGTTGTTACAATTGCTTAACTATTTCTGATTTTTAGAATAAAAAAATAAACACTGCTGCATAGAACAGTGGCTTCCACTTGCAGTTCAGTGCAAACCCTTGAGCATGTAGTTCCTAGAAGAATTGTTGAAGGATATGCTGGTGTTTGGGATGGAAAGAACAGCCAGAGTAAGGCTGGGTTTGCTGGTCTGTGTCTGGTGGATTTTCCCCAAGGCAAGATGAAAGCCTTGGGGTGCACAGGACCTGTCACACTCAGAGCGAGAGGTGAGGAAGGAGCAAGCAGCCAGTGGAAGGTGGGCCAGGCTGGAGTGGGGGTAGGGTGGGGAGATCTGTGCACAGGCAAAAGCTGCACTTGGCCACTAAGAGTGGATAAGTTGCACCTGTCAGCTTGGCTCAAGCATCCCGTTTCTTTCAGATGCCAAAGACTCAGATCAGCTGAGCCGGAATAAGATCACACACATACTCTCTATCCACGAGTCACCCCAGCCTCTGCTGAAGGTACTTGAAACCCCCATCCCAGGGCTGTACATAGGTGGGGAGGGAGGCTGGAGACTCCCATACCACCCCTTTAGCAAGTACCTACTATGCTAGGTTTGGGTTCTATTTTTTTTTTCTTTTTCAGTACTGGGGATGGAACCCAGGGCCTTGCACACAATGCTAGGCAAGTGCTCTACCATTAAGCTAAATCCTCAGCTCCCAGGCTGCCCTCTTGATTCGTGCTACCTTATTCCATCTACCACCAGATTGTTTGATGTTTTCATCTCTATTTGGCAACTGAAGCACAGAGAGATAAATTAACTCACCAGAGGTCACACATGCAAGAAGCTGGCCAGCTGGGATTTGAATACAGGCCATCTGGCCCCAGAGATCTCACCCCAAACCTTAAAAAGTCTCCCTTACCAGGCGCTGGTGGCTCATACCTATAATCCTAGCTACTCAGGAAGCTGAGATCTGAGGATCAAAGTTTCCTACCAGCCCAGGCAGGAAAGTCCATGAGACTCGTATCTCCAATTAAGCACCCAAAAAAGCTGGAAATGGAGCTATGGCTCAAGTGGTAGAGCACTAACCTTAAACAAAAAAGCCCAGGGACAGTGCTCCAGGACCAGCACAAAAAGGAAAGGAAAGGGGCTCCCTTATCGGCTTCTCATTGCACACCTAGATAGATGATTACAGATGGTTCTGGGTATTGCTATGTAACCTTGATTGGTGACTTTACCTCTCAGGGCTTTTGATTCCTGAGTCCTGGCTGTCCCCAGATGGCTATGGAGCTGTAGGATGGTGGTGATGCTGGGCAGGGGGCTGCTGCTGGAATCTAGGGAGTGAGGCTGTGAGGACTCTGAGAAGCCAAGTAGGAAATCCAGACCCCTGGTGCTGGAGTCAGGAATCCGCCTGCACATTGTCACTGGATTATTCTCTGAGCCTCAGTTTCTACATCTGAGTAAGTGGGCATGTTGCTTTGAGCCTACAAATTAGCGCTGATAGACTAACAAAGCTAAAGTATCCTTGTCCCATAAGCTGAGCATTATCTTCCTCTTCATCTCACAGTGTGTATGGCCCACAGAAAGGAAGGAACTATTCGGTAGGCAATGGCCCCAGAGCTCTGAACTCCATGAACTTGCTGTGTGACCCTAGCAGGGTCTTTTACCCTCTCTGTCTCAGCTTTTAGTCTCTACAGGCAGTCTCTAACGATCTATGACTTTGGGTGTCGAAGAAGAAATTTCCAGGCCAGTGGAATCGGATTTTGCTTTTGTAGGGCAGCCTCGTTTGGGAGTATTCGGTCCACATAGATTGCATGGGAGACTTGACAGGTTATTAATATATTTACTAAGGAAGTGAGTACTTCGAAAATGAGTCCCTGTCCCCAAAGCCCCTCCTCACTGGTGCCCCAGCCTTCCCTCCCCCGCTCAGGAAACTTAGCAGTCAGGGTTTGGGGCTCCTTTGTACTCCCCAAGGCCAAATGTGTGGGAAAGGGAAACTGCAAAGCTTGCAAAAGTTGCAGGATTTCATGACCTTGGGGGATTTACTTAGCGAAGCCTCTGTGCAAAGCTACAGTCAAATGAGGACAAATGAGGACCCAGGTGAGTGGTTCCTTAGCCACAACCAGAGGTGGGCCAGGCACCCACCCCAAAAGATTCATTTAAAGTATCAGAGGGTGTCCTTGAGAAAAGCAATGAGGTCCAGTGCTCCCACCTGTAATCCTAGCTACTCAGGAGGCTGACATCTGAGGAATGTGGTTCAAAACCAGCCCAGGCAGGAAAGCTCCTGAGACTCTTATCTCCAATTAACTACCAAACAAGCCAGAAGTGGTGCTGTGGCTCAAGTGGTAGACTGCTAGCCTTGAGCACAGAAGTTCAAGGGCAGTGTCCAGCTCTGAGTTCAAACCCCAGGACTGGCACACAAAACAAACAACCAAAAACAAAACTTTACAATACTATCTGGAGGTTAAGCATGAAGCAAAAGTTACCACATGTGATAAAAAAAATACTGACAGCTTATTCCTTGACTATTCTAATAATTGGCAATGTATGTTGTAAATAAATATTTTAAGCACCAGGAGTATAAATAAAAGAGCTGAAGGGCAGACTCAGCACACCAACAAGTTTTATTTGGGATAAAAACCTGGGATGGGTACCAAGTCTCAGAAAGAAAACAGCACCCTTCCCTTACAATTAGTGTCTCTCTTTATTAGGGGAAAAAAATTTGAAGTGAGGTGGGGCAGACGGAAGCGGAGTGAGTGGAGGCGGGTGGGAGAGCAATGTCATCTTAAGCAGGGGATGTCAGGTCTGCCAGGGCATCCGTGCCTTCCTCGGCTTTGTTCTCAGGCTGTCTTCCAGGACCAGGTGCATTTGTTCAGGGGGAAGGAGAGGGGAGGGGCGGGGAGGCAGCAGGATGGAAAGCAAGGACAGTTCTAAGATATGGCTCTCAGTGGGGAAGGTGAGTGCTTTCAGCTTGTTATTTTCCATCAGTTTTTCCAACTATAATTCATGAAATGTAAACATTTTTTGAGAAAGTATCTCACTATGTAGCCCTGATTCTCCATCCTCCTGTCTCAGCCTCCCGAGTGCTAGGATCACAGGCATGTGATATTATGCCCAGCTATTTATTTTAAATAGCTTTTGCTTCTTGTCAAGATAACCTAAGCTTCCCTTCCCTTTTTACTGTGTAATTTTGTCATCCCTGCTTGGAGATGGTGACTTTAAGAAGCCTTTTCCCAGCTGTAAGAGGAATAGTTTCTAAATCCTTCTAATCAAGTTCTCAGGACACTGGCTGTTCAGAAGGTTCTGGGACCACAGACAAGAGTTGGGAGGCTCATAAAGATGGTGTCTATTTTGGAGGGACAGAGAGATCATAATGGCTCGGAAGGTTGGAGGAGTTGGCAGCCTGGCCCAGGTTCCCCTCTCTACCCCCAATGAGAATATTTTGTACTTGCAGGATATTACCTACCTTCGCATCCCAGTGGCTGATACTCCTGAGGTACTCATGTAAGTCCCCCTGGATGGACCAACATGTAGGTAGACAGCTACTTGGCGGGAAGCTCTTGGGGGAAGCAGGTGGGGGTGGGGGTGGGGGGCAGAGAGTACTCAGCCCAGAGAGCAGTCATAGTTTTCAACCATGACCTTGTTGGAAGTCCCTGGCCAAGACTGAGCCTGCCAAGCCTCAGCCTCCTCAACTGTGAAATGGAGGAAGTGCCCCGTCTCTTGGGTCCAGCTGCACCAGCAGATTTGAAAGGGTCAGGCTCAGCCTGTACCTGGCCTTGGAGTTGAGACATCTGGCTCCCTTCCAGGCCCTGCCATTCATTCACTGCTATGTGACCTTGGGCTTCCATTCTCTGAGCTCAATCATCAAAAGGTCGTCCAGGAGCCGGGCGCTGGTGGCTCACGCCTGTAATCCTAGCTACTCAGGAGGCTGAGATCTGAGGATCACGGTTCAAAGCCAGCCCGGGCAGAAGAGACCATGAGACTCCCATCTCCAATAAACCACCAGAAAACCGGAAGTGGCGCTGTAGCTCAAGTGGTAGAGTGCTCGCCTTGAGCTGAAGAGCTGAGGGACAGCGCCCAGGCCCAGAGTTCAAGCCCCACGGCCGACCAAAAAAAAAAAAAAAAGGTCGTCCAGGAGACTCTCAAAGATCAGATAGCACAGGCTGAGAATCTAGAACACAGCCTGGTGTCACAGGGTCTCAGAAAACAAACAAAACAAACACACACAGGACTTTTGTTTAGGATATTGGCATTAGCACCCCAGTTTGGGATGGGTCCACACTGAACTCCTGCTTTATGCCCTTTGCTGACTATCATTGTTGCGAATGCTCCACTTGCAGACACCAGAGGATGAGCTCCTACCCTTTACCTTGAAAGGCCAAAAGACACAATGAAAACGAGGTCCTTGGGACCCACAGACTCCAGAGCTCATTGTCTTTTACAATTCCAAAAGTGGAGGGGGGCATTATTGTCATGAGACCTACCCAACCCCCAGTGCTTCTTACCCTATTGCTTTCTTTTCTAGAAAAAAGCACTTCAAAGAATGTATCAACTTCATCCACTGTTGCCGCCTTGGTGGGGGGAACTGCCTTGTGCACTGGTGAGTCGCCAGAGCTGTGGGGGAGATGAGGCTGGCTGTCCTCCATCCCCAGGACTCCTTCTCCCTTTAAGAAGGTAGCCCATCATTCACACGGAGAGACCCACTAGCGGCTGTGGCTCTGGCCTTAGCCAGCAGTGGCTTCCCAGGCTATGTTTCCTCATCTGTTAAATGGGGAGAATGTTGAGCTGATGAGGCAGTCAGAGAAAGGTGAGGACAGGTGTTTATCCCCTCTGCTCCCCTTCTAGCCTTTAAGGCTGGGCATCAGGCCCAGAAACCCTGAGCTAGGAGGTGGGACAGGGCCTCAGAGCCTCCTTGGAGACTCCTGGATCCACTGGTATCATTCATTCCAGAACTTCTAACAAGAACCTATTGTGCTCCAGGCTCAGGGCTTTCTCAAGTCTAGTCTTGTTTCCCTGACCCTGGGCCACACCTCCTCCTGCTTTCAAACCCACTAGTCATCCACCTTATCAGCTTAATACACACTACCCACGACACCTTTCCTCTCCTCTTTATTTATCCTGACAATAGTAGGTATTGAACTCATGGCTTCTCTGCTTGCTAAGCAGGTACTCTACCACTTGAACTTCACCAACAGCCCATTTATTTTATTTTATTTTTGCTGGTCTTGAGGCTTGAACTCTGAGCCTGGGTGCTGGCCCTGAGCTTTTGTGCTTAAGGCTAGCATGCTACCACTTGAGCAGCTCCACTTCCAGCAATTTTTGTAGTTTAGTGGAGATAAAAGTCTTGTGAACTTTCCAGGCTGGGAAGGTGGCTCAGTGGTAGAGCGCTTGCCTTGCATGCCTGAGGCCCTGGGTTCGATTCCTCAGCACCACATAAACAAAAAGAAAAAAGCCGGAAGTGGCGTTGTGGCTCAAGTGGTAGAGCGCTAGCCTTGAGCTGAAGAGCTGAGGGACAGCGCCCAGGCCCCAGAGTTTAGGCCCCACGACCAGATCCAAAAAAAAAAAGACTCATGAACTTTCCTTCTCCAGGCTGGCTTTGAACCACAATCCTCAGTAGCTGGGATTACAGGTGTAAGCCTCCAGTGCTCAACCCGTTTATGTTTGGTTTTGGTTTTGGTTTTTTTGTTGTTGTTATTGGTCGTGGGGTCTGAACTCTGGGCCTGGACACTGTCCCTAAGCTCTTTAGCTCAAGGCTAGGAGCTCTACCACTTGAGCCACAGCACCACTTCCAGCTTTTTCTGCTTATGTGGTGCTAAAGAATTGAACCCAGGGCCTCAGGCATGCAAGGCAAGCGCTCTACCACTGAGCCACCTTCCCAGTCCTCGTTTACTATGTTGGCCTGTATTATGATCCTTCTACTTGTGTTTCCCAGGGTCTCCGGGGATGCCAGGCACTTGTCATTGCATGCAGGCACAGTTCTCCCCTGAGATGACAGGCACCAAACACCATGTGCAGCCACTGGTTGAAATGGAATCTTGCACCATTTTATCTGGGCTGTCCTTAAACTAATCGTCAGATGTCTGCTTCCCAGATAGCTAGAATTACAGGCTTGAGCCACGGCACCTAGCTTTTTTTGTGGGTGTGGGGGATGTATACTGCTGAGAACTAAATACAAGGTCTTATACACAGATGACGTGTTTCCCTCACACACACACACACTGAACCATTCCCAGCCCTAGCCCAAACTTAACCTAGCCTTTAAGATTCTTTTGATGTCACTTCCTAAAACATCCTCTTCACTAGACCTTCCCATCCTCCCACCACAGCCATGCTTTTCTAGTGTGAGTTCCCCCGCCCCAGACTTGATTTCAAAACAGGTGCCACCCCTGGAAAGTGCTTTTCTGGGTAATGTATGTTCCCCAAAACGCTGGACAGCAGAGGCCATGTCTATTTTTCTCCCTGGTATCTGAAAGGGAAAAGGCAATCAGATGTTTGTTGAACGAATGAGTGCTATTTCAGCCAGGCCTTTGATGTGGGGCAAAGGAAGGAAAGGAACCTCACGGACAAAGGCCTAGCGCTGGGAAGACAGACCCTAGGGGCTCTTGGTATTGGCACTCAGGAAAGCAGGATGTGGGGGCTGCAGTGGGAGGAGGCATCTGGGAACATAGAGGCCCTACCTGAAGCCTAGGGTTGTTGGGGATCCAGTTTTGCAGGCATCTCCCGCAGCACCACCATTGTGACGGCTTACGTGATGACAGTGACCGGGCTAGGCTGGCGGGAAGTGCTGGAAGCCATCAAGGCCACCCGGCCCATCGCCAACCCCAACCCAGGCTTTAGGCAGCAGCTTGAAGAGTTTGGCTGGGGGAGTTCACGGAAGGTAGGGGCTGGGCAGGGCTGGCTGGCTGGGATGGGTGGACTGCGTGGGCCAGGGAGAAACCTTTGTTCCCACTGGAACACAGCACCCATGGAAAAGAATTCAGCTTCAGATCTGGCTGGTAATTGTTCAGCATCTCAAACTTGTGACCTTGAGCTAATCCCACTCTGAAGTATAGTTTGTCTTAACGCCAAGTGTCCTTCCTTCCTTCCTTCTCTCCCTTTCTTTCTCCTTTCCTCCCTTCTCCCCCTTACTCCCCCCCCTTTTCTCTTCACTCAACCACTTTGAGTCAAACCTGTATTTTTTGCTTTTAGATCTGACACCAAAGTCTGGGTTCAGATCTTAATTCTCTCACCTATGACTGATGTAGTTGAGACAGAAGAGTATACCACCATAGCCACTTACTGACTGAGATGAGGTCTTGTTAGCATTTTGTCCTGGCTAGCCTCAGATTGGGGTCTTCCCTGTGTCTACTCCCTGAGTAGCTGGGATTGCCTTGTGAGCCACCACGCCTGGACTTCCTTCCTTCTTTCCTTCCTTCCTTCCTTCCTTCCTTCCTTCCTTCCTTCCTTCCTTTTGAGACAAGGACTTGGTATATGGTCCAGGCAGGCCTGGAACTTCTGATCTTTCTGCCTCAGTCTCCCTGGGGAGAACAGGCATCACAACCATACCTGGTTTGATTTTTCTTTCTTTGTAGTACTTATTTATTTTGTGTTTGTGCTGGGGCTTGAACTCAGGACCTTGGCATTCTCCCTTGTCTTTTTTGCTCAAGGAAACTCCACTTACAGCTTTTTGGTGGTTAATTGGAGAGGAGTCTCATGGACTTTTCTGCTCAGGCCTGGCTTCCGGCTGGGATTCTCAAATCTCAGCCTCCTGAGTAGGTAGCTAGGGTTACAGGCATGAGCTATTGGTTGCCTGGCCTTCTGGATCTTTCTGAAGGCAAAGCAGTGTGGCTTTCCATCACTCCTGAGCAGGTGGCATGGAAATGTCAGGGGTGAGAGTACTCGGGGGGAGAGGGAAGAGTCTATAGAGTGCTGGCAGGTCCTCTGCAGGTGGCAGATATTGGGGTGTGGGAGTGTTGAGCTCAGCTTTGTGGGCAGAGTGTTGCCAGTCTGGAAGTGTTCAAGGGGGGAAAGGGGCGCGAAGGAGGGAGGGGCACTCGGTGGGGGAG